TGGAGCGGGTTCCGGCCGGAGCGGGGAAGAAGGACTTGCGCTATCAACGAAACAGACAGAGACTACACTGTAACATAACGCAGTTTGAAAAACCAGATATAAGAGAGAGGGTGTTGCGACTCAAGCAGTCCACAGTAGGTTCCGGTCCGATAGTTCTGTCTTCCAAATTGCAAGCCTGAGCTTTTCGTGTGTTGGCTCTTCACTTTGCTTCCAAAACCACATCTCTGTGGCTGCTGGTTTCGAGCTTCTTCCAGGTGTCTGGAATCTCGTTCTCAGAACTTTTGATTGTTCTTCGGCTCCGAGCGTGTCAGTTTTTATGTTCGATGTTGGTAAGACGTTCCGTAGTTGCGTTAGACGTGGTGTGCGGGTTTCGAGAACTTCCATTCTAGTTTGTTTTGTGTCTGTGGAGAACACGTGGCAGAGCAGTGTTCTTTTCCTTGTTTCAAGACGGCGATTGGCAAGCCGTGAGTAAAAAGAGTGGTTCAGCGCGTTGCTACTGTGTTTACAAGAAGCAACGCTCAAATAAAAGTTGAAAAAAAGATCGTGCTTGTTTGTCTTGGCCCGGAGCCGAAAAGTCGACCACGTCGCTCCTTCAAGAGTGCACAGTCCGGATTTGGAACTTCGGGTAACATTTTGGTCTTGAGCAAAGGTTTTTACCAAGAGGAGTCTTCTTCCAAGGTCTGTTGTTGCTTGTGCATGCCGCATGTGTGTTGGATTAGAAAACGTGCAACTTGTCTTGCATGAACAGCTCGTGCATGCACTCCGAAAACGAAGGCAGTGAGCTCGAAACGCGCAACTCTGAACCCCAAAAAAGCAGCTTGCGGTCTATGATGTGTCGTAGGGGGGGTCTTCAGAACAAAAATTTGCTTTTAAGATGCACAAAAATGACCTACTAGGACACGCAAACGAGATTTCAGGCCGACGAGAACAATGTTTCCCTTCAAACTTGAGTCTGTGCAGCCCCGATGCTCACCAGTGAAAACTGATGCACTTCCAGAGAAGCAGTGCGAATGCAGCCAGATTGCTCTTTTTCATGTTTGCATCTTGAGTCCATGCAGTTGCGACACTAAAGTCGTTTCGGTTGAACCTCGCACTTTGAGCCGGCTGTTGTTTTTCGTTTTCTTTTGTCGGAAACATGGCGGTCTTTTCCCTTGCCATGTTTGGGAAAGGAAACTGGACGCAGTTTCCTGTGCCTGCAAAACGTAACAGATGCGCCAGTGACACGGAGCTGTAGCTTGGGCATCCACATCTGCTTTTCCGTTTTTATCAGAAAACAGGTTTTCCGAGGCTTTGGTTGCAATCGTCATGTTTTTCATGAGTGTCAGCTTGCAAGTCAGTGTAGCTTATGAGTGTGAGTGCATGTACAGACATGCACACCAATTATATAACAGCCATTACGGCCGTCCTCGACAACAAGCTTGGGTCTCGCAGTACCGACAAGCCATGTATCTTCCAGAGTGACGGTTCTGGTTTGGTGCGAAATACAGCACCAAACTTGTGTGGTTGGGTGCGAAATACACCACCAAAAGTTAACACACTGCTTGCGAAGCTGAGCATGTACGATGATGAGAAAGATGTTGCAATATGGTTTGAGAGAGGTGAGCCGTGTGCAAACACGGCAAATGCTCCTTCGTGATTCACGCTTGATGAACGTACGTTTAGCTTCAGAATCAGGTGGGTGTCGGAAGAAGAGCTGCTTTTTTGGATGGCAGATTGCCATCTTGCAGGAAACGCGTGCTGGAATTTTCATGCTGGATCGGATGTTGAGTGCGATGCCTCACCTGTCATCCGAAAGCCAACCTCGGCCATACAGAGTGAGTGCTGCATGTCATGTTGTTCCAGTCTCGCAGGTTCCATTACATGATTGTTAGCTGCCTTGAAAGCATAACCGAATAAGCTTTGCATCCCATTTGGAAGGACTTGTCGGTGGTAGTGAGTTGCACATTACAGCGAGCAAACGTGCACAGGTCGTTTCGAACCTGTGGTTCCTTGAAACTTCAAAGCCAAGTGCTTCTGAAACTCCCCGGTGACGAGAGATTCAGTGATCGATTTGGAGTTTACTGAGCACCATTGTGGAATTGAACTGTGATTATTTTTGCCGCAGCTGCTCGGGTCAATGCTGACCAGCACTGCACACCGTTTGCAACAACCGACGCCAACAAGCAGAACGGTCGCATCGAATTGTGGACCGTCTCGGATGTCCCAGCATAAGTTGCTAAAACGCCACTGCCGTTGCGCAGAGCAGCGGCATGCTCTGGTATGCAGGCGAGGCGCCCGTCTTGTTCCAACCGGGCAGATGTTATAGGAGTGTGCTGGTCGCCATTCACGCTTTTGCTAAGCAGGTTTTCTGCGCAGAGTTTGTTTCCTTCGCTTTGGATCTCCAGTACTGACCTCTTAACCATATGCCACTGCCATAGCCGTTTGCTACATCGCTCCTCCAGCCGAAAGTCACTAGATTGGCCGTAGAAGGCGATGGTCTGAGGCAATGGGACCTCGACCAAGGCTGGTTCTTTTCTTAACAAGCCGAAGTTCACCACGATTGCAACCCACATACCCAGCTGCGATCAATGTATCTTATTTGGATACAAGTGATAGAAATGGTTGCTTTCCAAGTACGTATAACAAAGGTGGGGGAAGCCCCATCAATCAATGGCTAATTATTTTCACGCAGTTGAGTTGAGATTTTTATGTCTGACTGGCAAGGACGAGCCATCCGTGATGGCAGCAGAGGCGCCACGGCTCTGCATTGCAAGATGCAAGCACTCTGGTTTTTTTGGCGTCTGCCGGTGAGCTTGACGTTTGTTGGGGCATGTCAGATGTACTGGCAGAATATTGAAGTGATTCAGACAGGAACAGTTTCAGGAAGCTTTCCCGCGCCTCTTGCATGTTACTCTCTGCATTCTGGTTCTGAGCCGACCGCCGCATGATGGCCAATGTTCAAACGACGAGAACTCGTCAAGTCTCTCATGGCACTTTTGAACATTCTGCATCATCTTAATGCAGCTCTCTCAAAAATTGCAGCATGCCGAGGGCAGGCAACAGTTGTACCACAGGCGGAGGGTAGCTGACACACTACTGCAGCAAAGTCAAGAGGTTCATTAATCTAAGTCGTGAACTGTGCTGGGGGCCTCGATAGCACCAACATTCTAGATGGCCCGTGTACCATGCATCCAGCGTGATGTCTCTCGTTTCGAGGCTTGCTGCAAGAAGGCTGAGACGACCTGTCGTGGCAGTCGGCAGGGGCTGGACAAAGGGCGTGTGTGCGACCAGCGTTTTGCGTGACCGAAGCAGTCATCACAGCGGCTTGCGCGCACATGGGCATGGCGAGCACGACGATCAAAGCCACGCAGGCCACGCAGGTCATCATGCCTCCAACCACGGGAAACAGGGGGCCCGCGACACCCGACACGAGCATGGGCACCCAGGCGGCCACGGCGGCCACGGCGTGCTTGGTCACGGCCACAGCGGCGACGGTCATGGACACGGACATCATAGGGAAGGTCAGGGCCACCTGCATGTCTTGGGCTGTCATGACCATGGCCACAGTGCGGAAATGTCTGAGCTCAAAGGTGAAGCAATCAAAGTGACGTTGTTGGGGTTTACCTTCAACTGTTTATTGGGTGTGCTCCAATACTTCGCTGGGAATTATTGTAATTCTGCAGCGCTGACAAGTGATGCCATCCATACTTTGACAGACTCCTTATCTGACATCATTACGCTGTGTGTGGTCCAGCTGGCCATTGGCCCAGCCACGCCTTCCTTCCCCTTTGGGCGGGGGAAGCTCGACTCTTTGGCGGCCCTTGGCGTCTCGGGGATCATGATGGGCACGGGAATCTCGGCCATGCGCTTCTCCACCACTCTCTTCCTCGAAGCCATGGGCGACCTTGGTGGCGACGAGCACCACGGGGCCGGGGCTCACAACGATTCCCACGGACATTCCCACGTGCACGGCCACGGACATTCGTCGCCGATCCTGGAAAATGGCCATGTCAACGAGGTGGCTGTGGGGACCTGCTTGGTGACCATTGCTGGCAAGGAGGCTTTGTATCATATCACTCGCAGGGCCGCCGACCGACTGCACAGTTCCGTGCTCTTGGCCAATGCTTGGCACCACCGTAGCGACGCCTTGAGCTCTGGCCTTGTCTTGTTGGGTGTCTTGGGAAGGATGTTCGTGCACAGCGCTTTCGACCCTGTTGCAGGTGCCCTGGTCTCCACCGTAATCATCCGAGTCGCCTTTGGGATCGGCCGAAGGTCTGTCGCTGAACTGCTCGACATGCAGCTGCCCAAGCACGAGCTCCAGGAGCTCCAGGAAGCTCTCAAGGCGGCTGCCGCGGCCCTGGAGCCGCGGCAGCCGCCCGTCGAAGTGCAGCAGTTGCTGGGCCGACGTGCGGGCCCTGACGTGCACCTGGAGGCTCTCCTCACAAGCGACTGGAGGGCGATGTCGGCACAGCAGCTCGCACAGCTGGAGACGTCTCTGCTCAGCGAGTTGCATCTTGGAGGCCATCGCATGGTTCGAAGCCTCCGAGTCGTTCCACGTTTGTGAGCCCGGTTCGAGCTCGCGTCGCAGAAAGAGTCTGTAAGGGAGTGTAACGCTGGCCGATGTTGGCAGCCCGCAGCAGCTGGGGGTGGGGGCAGGCGCGGCCCACCCTGGACCTGGCCGGAGGCCCGGCCCTGTGCCGTCTGTCGGAGCGTCGTCGCAGCTGCAATAAATGGCTTCCAGAGGCTTGTTGGAGCAGCAGCAAGTTAGCAAGAAGTCCCTGTGCAACCTCTGCTTCTCGGCTTGTGGGGAGCTGCCAAGCCGAGCTCGCCACTGCGCATCCGCGCTGCGATTTCGGCTCATAGCTGATGTGGAGGGCAGCAGAGTCGCCAAAGCCCACCCCCAAGTGGCCCAAGCTTCCCCCGAGCCTGCACCGGTTGAGCCGCAGTGTGCAGAACTTGCAGCAAGTCTTTCAATCCTCGTGGACCCCCGCCGATTTTTGAAGTCTTTTTTTTTCGCTTGGGGCGCCGTGAGCTTCGCTCAGAGGACGCGCCTCCGTTCTGCCAAAACAGAAGGGTGGTATGGTGTGGTAGAGTGTGGTGTCGTTTTCGTGGCCCAGGAGCTGCAGGCGCCCATGTTCTCCCCGGAGATGCTGAAGGCCGCGCAAGGCATGATGGCGAACATGTCCCCAGAGGACCGCTCACGCCGCAGACCTAAACGCGTTCCTTTTGGAGATCAGATCGGCTCTCCGATGTGCCTTGACCTCTGTCAGGACATGCAAAGAATGACTCAGATGGCAGCCAACATGGACCCTTCCGTCATGGCGCTACGACTGACAGATCCAAACCGTCAGCTGTGTTGTGAATCCTGACCCCCCGTGAAGTGCGCTCTGCCCCTGTATCGCGTGCAACCGGCTGCACGGGCTGAGGAGGGCATGATGAAGAATATGGGCGGCAACGTCCCGGCCATGGATTCAGGCCAGATGCAGGAACAGATGATGCTGTGCAGCAGAACATATTTGCGACAGTGTCATCGTGGACGAAAGACTCGCTGAGCGTTTGAAGCATTTTGAGCTGGGTGATGTAACTGAGGAAAAGGATGGGGCAGATGAGCCCTGACGAGCTCAAGTCGAAACCGCGCTGCACAAGTTAATCTTGGTTTGATCTTTGTTCCGTAACTTGGTCAGCTTTCGCTCGCTGTCGCTTGCGCTTGGGTGACTGCTGGCTTAGGAGTATGAGTCAAGCGCAGCAGCAGATGGGTGGCCAGAAGCAATACATGCACCTCGGCTTCGGATTCATGTCCCTTGAGCTGTTCTGCTTGCCCTGTGTCACCCTGTGAGGTACAACGCATCCATGCAGCTGAAAAACGAAGGTAACGACCACATCAAGGCTGGGACTCCCGCCGAGGCGCTTGTGACTCTGGGCCGAGTGTTTTCAGGCTCAGAAGTATTCCGATGCTTTGAGAGCGTACAGCAAAGCTCTGGAGAATCTGAAGCCTTTTGCCGGAGATGCCACTCGGACCTGTGCGGAGCTGTGCGCTAACAGCCTTGCCCTCCCTGCTCTGTCCTTAAGGACATCTCACAGCTGCGGTTGTCCTTGATGCTGAACTCTGCCATGTGCCATTTAAAGCAGAGTGATCCTGCACGGTGCGTGGAGGTTCCTTGCTCCCGTTTATTGAAGTGTTGAGCAATCCTTTGTGGCGGGTGATGCTGCGACTCGCTGTCGCTGTCGAGGTATGCGAAGAAGCACTCCAAATCAACAGCCAGAGCGTCAAGGCTGAGCTTCTCAAAGAGCTCCGTAAAACGGCTCTGCATGAGCTTGTGCTGTTAGGCGCTTTTCCGGCGGGGCCTGGCCCGAGTGGGCCTTGGCCAGCTGGCTGGGGGTGTTGCCGACATCAAGCCTGAGCCTGACCAGATCCCTACCCTTCGTACCCTTTCTGCGACATGCTTGCGAAAATGCTGAGGTTCGCAGCAAAGCTGTCTCCAGACGACACGGGCTTAGTTGAGGGCCACGTGCTGGCTGCAATGGGGCAACGGGGAGCGGTGCTGCAGGACAAGACGATTGCCTCAGAGTTGCAGCGGGTGGAGAAAGACTGCATGGGCAAAGGCCGCCTAAGCACCGGGCTCGAGCTTGGATCCCAGGGCCTCGCCTTGGGCAACTTGGACAGGTGTGTCTTCGGAGGCCATCGACGCGGCCCAGCAGAAGGTCGAAGAGGCAGCCACAAAAGGCACCCCAGCAAGCGCAGCAAAGCCAGCAAGCGCAGAGGCCTCTGCCTCTTCTCGGCTCCGCGTGAGGCTCCAGCGCGTCCAGCGCGTCCTCACCTTCAACCAGCTTTCCGAGTGCGGGCGGCCAGAATGTCGAGCAGGTTCGGTGCGGGACAGGGAAAAGTGGGGGGATGCAAAGGGATTAAGGCTTAAGGGGGGGGGGGCTGCTACACTGCCGCTGCAACTTCTCTGAGGCCATGGAGCAGATCTCCAAGAATCCGGAGATGGTCTCCCAGGCCACGGAGATGATGAAGAATATGTCCCCGGAGGAGGGAGCCGACTGAAGCTTTGGGGAAAGTTCCTGCAACTTACAAGGGTTGTTACTGAAGAGAGGACATCGAGCGGATGATGGCCTCCGCACCCTTGCCTCCGGGTGTCGACAAAGAGACAGCACGAAAGCGAATGGAGGCGAGGCTTCCAAGCGGAGTGTGGCCGAATGCGAGCTCTCTTGAATTGGCTTGAAATGATTGATGGAGCTATGGGTAAGGCCGTCTCAAAGAATCCAGAGATGCTGAAAACAGCCATGGACACGCTCTCGTCCATGCCGGAAGAGGCGCAGTCAAGCGTAGCAACCCGTGACTCTTCTGTTGCTCTCTGACTGTCACAGGAGCGGAAGCGCATGCTGCAGTCCGCGGCTGCCGGTTCCGGAGGGGCCGCCAATTGGCAGAACAGAGAGGGACTTTCAGTGGGATCTAGTGACTCTAGTGACCGTAGTGTTCCGACGAGGCACCGGACTTCAGCAAGATGGGAGACTTTTGGCTTGAAGAAGGTCGCAGCCTCTCTAAGCTCTGACACGGGGCTTTTGTGCACCAAGGACCTCATGAAGGATCCGGCGGCCATGAAGTCTGCCATGGCTGCGGCCAGTGCCATGGGCCAGGGCTCCGGGCCTGAGGCGCGGCGACGGTCAGAAGAGGAAAGATTTCTGGGGGCCCCACTGGCAGCTGAGGCAGATCTCATGAAGAAGATGACGGAGAGTCCCGAGATGATGCTCTGCCGAACGTGCACCCTGTGCCACGGTTCCTGCACAGAGCGACCTGTGTTGCCCGGGCAACCGGCCTGCTACCTTAGGATGGATGCCATGACCAACATGATGAAAAATATTCCCCCGGAGCAGATGCAGAAGATGATGGACATGAGCATGAAGCTGGGTCAGCATAGAGCGCTTCCGTTCTTAACGTGGGCATATGGAGATTCCCGGGGCGGCGTCGCGGCTTGCTCAGGAAGATGAAGTCGGGAGGCGACGGCACGCAGGATCCATCGCAGATGCTGAACGATCCGGAGATGATGAAGGCGGCGGAGGAGATGATGAAGAGTCTTGGGTGTTTTTTGTTAGCCATGGCCCCTTCCAACTGAGAGAAGGGAGATCTTCCGAGAAAGAAATGCCGGACTCCGAGGAACATGTCGCCGGAGGCGCTTCAGAGCATGGCCAAGTCTGCTGGCATGGAGGTCAGTGAGTCTCAGGCCAAAATGATTTCCAGGGTCATGCCCTTCATGATGAAGGCCCTTAAACTTTGGGGCCATGTGAAGGGCATGTTTTCAGCAATGTTCAGCCCAAGGGGCCGAATCGTCCTTGCTGTTGTGATTCTGCTGGTCGCTGTCGGCCAGCACTACTACTTCTCCGAGAAGTAAATGCACTGCGCGGGCGTACGGCCCGAAAAACGTTGCAAAGGGAAGTTCTCATTCGAGAAAAGCCCCTCGCGCTGCCCAGTGACAAACAGTGCTCCAGTTATGCAGAGATCTGCCCCATCTTGCCTCATCTTGGCAACATCTCCGAAATCGGGACCCTAACTGTTTTCCAAAGGCGGGCGCATCACAAGCCTGCACATGCCCTTCGATGGGAGGACGGAGCAGTGCCGATGCCTCTCAGCCCTGCATGCTTTTGGTTGGCCGCCAATTTCACCACATGCCGCAGCAATTTCTGCTCTTTCGAGTTTGGTCACAGGCCTTGGAAAGGCCCGAATCCGAGACTGCTCCTGAGAAGCCTCCCCGAGATTCGGTGGCAGGTGTGATACTGCGATGGCTCTGGAGCTGCAGCCG